CGAGTTGTAACAATTGCGCCGCTACAATTGTTACAACGCGAACCCCGAGAACAAGGAAGGGTGTTGGGACGGCGTGTCCAGCCTTCCTGAAAGAAAAAAGAGGGTTATTTCTCCGGATTCCAGAATCCGCAGGGGTCTCGGGAGGAGAACTCAAACTGTATTTTATGAACTGTTAGCTTCTGGTCATGTCCTGAATTGAATTATTAACATCTAAATTCGTTTTCAGATTATGAGAAGCTAGGAGTTAAGGAAAAGGGTTGATCCGTCTTCGTTGGAGATGATGATTCTTATCTACTGAACAAAAACAATAGTATTATGATAAATAAGCAGTAGCCCTGTTTTTAGGAGTGACCTCATGGTCTAGGGATACTGAGACCCAGCCATTAGCTCACTATTTCTGCATGTAATTAAGTTAGTTAGATCATTCTGATCGAAGCCGGAAATTAACGTTTTTTGTCGACCCGATATTAGAAAGACCACCAAAAGAACTTGCTTTGGCAGAGACGGTGAAAAGCATGTAGATCAGTAGTAGTATAAGTAGTAGTAGTAGTAGTAGTAGTAGTAGTAGTAGTAGTAGTAGTAGTAGTATAGGATTTAGAGCATCTGCTCTAGGGTTTTGACCCCTCAGTTTTCAAGTGGCACGAGTTTTTTCGAGGGATTACAGTTGCCACATGGGCATAGCGCTCTCCACGAGCAAGAGTCAATCTCGTTGAATATGTCACGGAAGAATTTGTGGTATAATTTGGCGATTCTGTTTTTGTTGATGATTTCATCTGCAAACAGGCTTCTTTGCACTAAATTTAACAGTTTTGGTGCACGGATCCAGAAGTTTTCGTCGCATTTCTTGAGACGCTGCTGGGGGATATAGAGTTCGGTCTGCTGTCTTGTAAGCGCTCTACGGCTCTTTGTCACTGGCATGTTTTTGGCCTCATAGTTTCCTTCTAGCACAGAGATGAGGTATAGAATATCATGCACTTCCATGAAGCGGAGAAGTCTTTCTTTATATTCTGCAGTCCCGTTGGTTATCCATTTGGTGGCGTTCCTCTGTACTTGCTCTATCTTCATCATTTCAGTTTTTGGGGGGTACCATGCCTGCGATGCGTAAGTAAGCATTGGTACTACATAACCTGTGTAGGCATTCAGTTTTGTCTTTTGCTACACATTTTCTGAAGTATTTCTGATGAGGAAGTATAAAGACCTCCAGGCTTAAATTGTTAGACATGATGACTCCGAGATCCTTCTGTGATATGACGGTTTTTAATCGTCCGTTTGTTTGTGTCTCTCCTTTTATGCACAGTATGTTGGTTTTGACAAAATTGAGAATCATTTTATTTTCGAAGCTCCATTTTTCGGCTCTTTTTCCTTCCCCCCCACCTCACTCAAACATGAATTTTATGGTCTAACGAGTGGTTTTACAAGGTTGATTATGAAAACCGAACATGTTTGTCATGGCCTAATCAGTCTGCATGTCAATTTTCATGTTAATCGGACAAAGTGAAATGTAACTTCAATTATAAAAAATCGCAGGTGTGGGGATAAGGAAAAAGAGCCCATTTTTCTATTTGTGAAGCCGCCTTCTCTGCGTTGCTTTAAGAAGTGGTCACCACTTTAAAATTGTCCGCATAACCGAAGGCTTCTCCGTCTTCTGTGTTTAGACGCTAGCCAGTCATTTTAGAACCGAGCTTTATTTTCCGTCGATATGTACTTCGGGCGAATGTTACAACAGTTGCGGAATCCAGAGCAACTAGCTATATTTGCTTGTTGCGGAATCCGCAACAATTTAAATGTAACGACAAAATTTACGTTACAAGTACATATACGCTGAATCCACGTAAATCTTGTAAGTGGAATCCACTTACATTTTGGAACATGTTTAAATACTTGTCTCTGGAATCCAGGAACATACAGACACAAAATTGTGCGCCTTTCCAGTGCACAGTTTGGCCTCGTAATGTGGGTAATGGATGTTCAAATCTTGTCTCAGCTGTTTGCGATGAAACGAGTCTAGATACTTCGCACTGGTTTTGCATAAACCCCACATTTCGCAGTTGTACATCAATATGGGTAGCACCAGTGAGTTATATAACAACAACAACAACAACAACAACAACAACAACAACAACAAAACCTCGTATTTTAACAATTTCTGTCCCTTGCATCGGGTTTCTCTAAGAAACACTGAGCCACCATTTGTCACACCAGTTGTAAAGCTTTTGCTAAAAAAGAAAAACAAGCTATTCAAGAAAAGGCGATTTAATGATGCTTTAGCGGTTGCTGCAGAAATTTGCCACCAGATTTTTTCCAATAACTCTCGGAACAAACAAAAGGGAAGCAAATCGTGGTGGAAGCAAGTCAACTATTATGTGAAACGTGAACAACCCGTCATTGAAAACCACTTCGACGCAAATGAACGGAATTCCCATTATAATAATATTAGCACTAATCTCGTAAACACGCGGCCTCAAATCTATGACACTCATGGCTACCAACTTCCTGTTGTTCATGCACGCCAGGTGTTTAATTACATATCAAAGTTGAAAAAAACTACTGTTGGCCCTGACGGTCTGCCGTATTGGTTATACCGTGAAAACGCCCATAGGCTAGCAGAGCCCTTGACGCACATTTTTAATCTGTCTTTATCAAGTTCGGTCTTTCCTGAAACTTGGAAAGTTGGTTGCATAAAGCCTATTCCATCTAAGTTTTTTCTCCTGCGGCCTATTTGTCTGACTCCTATTATTGCTCGTGTGTTTGAGCGAATTGTCTTTGACAGTTTTGTATCTGAGCGATATCACTCAACCCTGTCGAACGATCAGTTCGGTTTCCGAAAAGGTTCCTCAACTACGTGCGCGCTTATCAAGTTACTAAACGATGTGCTACGTAAACGAAAAGGTTCAGAAAATAACTACGTTCGAATCATCACTCTTGATTTAAGCAAAGCGTTCGACTCTCTTTCCCATCGTGCTATCATTGATGGACTTCATAAGTCTCATTATAACCCCTTTCTTATAAACTGGTACAACAGTTTTCTTTCTGGTCGCGTTCATTCGACTCTTGTAAACGATCAACTATCTCGTGAACTAACTACCAGTCAAGGCGTTCCGCAAGGAACAGTAAACGGACCACCGCTTTTCAACAGTGGTACAAATGACATATCAGTCATAACTGACATTCCTGAAAGACGGTGTAGACTCACTAAATTCGCTGACGATTTTACCCCAGTTGTCGGAGGTCGCATAGATGAACTTGACTATGCCAGTGACGTTATTAATGCACTCGAAGTCCAGTTTAACTCCAAAAACTTGACGCTGAATGACGGTAAAACAAAAGAGGTTCTGTTATCGTTTTAAAAAGGTCAACAACCTAGAACTATTCCTGGAGTTGAACGTGTGACGTCGCGAATGATACTCGGAGTCATATTTGACGAAAATCTGTCGTTCAAGGAGCACATTACTGCTATCTGCAAAGCGTCAGTCTCATGTTTATATCTTTTGTTGCGCCTCAAACGTCTGAACTATACAGCGGAAGAACTGAAATTACTTTATAATTCTTTGGTGATATCTCGACTATCTTACTGCGCGTCTGTTTGGGGTGGTACTTATTCATATTTACTAGATCAAATAGACCGAGTTCAGAACAAAGCACGATTTTTTGGTATTATTGACGAAATTGAACCGATTCGCGAAATTATCCGCAAATCTGACCAGGCCTTACTACGCAAAATAACCGAGACCGGGTATCTGCATCAGCTATTTCATCTCCTACCACGCAGAACGGATTATGCCGCGGATACGCTGCGACCCAGAAACGCTGGAGTTATGAAGACTAAATTGGAAAAACAACTCTGTTTTTCCCTTCGAGAGTTTTAAGAGTAGTGTACACTTAAATTTGTAAACATGTATTGGATGTATTATCCAATATAAATAAAAGTTTTGTTGTTGTTGTTGTTGAAACAGCAAAATTTTTGTTGTTTTGTTGTTGTTGTTGTTGTTGAAACAGCAATATATCTCACTGTCGAAACACCAGTGAGTTATATAAGTTCAGACTTTTCGTGAGACGAATCTTATTTGATCTCTATAGCGATTGCAGTTTTCCTAGAGCCGCGGTTGCCAAGCACTTGCGCATGATGATGTTTTCGTCGTCTCCCGGTAAAGAGCCTAGTTTCTTCACCTTGCGCCAGCTCTCATCAACGCGGCTTTCTCTTGTTTGATAAATGTTAATTCCGTCTGGCCGTTGTTCACTCTTAGATTATGGCCATAATCTCAGGCCATAATCTCAGAGCCATAATCTCAGAGTGAACAACGACAAGAGTATACACATCGTATACTCTTCTCGTTAATCCAAGCTTATGCAAATTAGCTTACTATGAAATATTGAAAATTTTTAAGCTTCCTACCCTGGAGCCCAGAAGAAAACGTGGGCATATGATAGAAGTGCACAAAATCTTGTTTATGATGTAATAGCAACTGAAGGAGTGTTTACAATAAACGAATGAAATTCTCGTGAAAATCCGTACAATTTGATAACATGAAAATCACGAAATTGTTTACGAAGTAGCTTCTTCACTATAGCAGCCGTAAACGACTGGAACGCACTACCAGAGTGTAATTTCCAGCGTTCACATCAATTTGTCCAAATCGAGGCTGGATCAACACTGGGAAAACGACATGTATGATACATCCTTTTTCGAATGAAGAATTGGACGTCCACAGATGGAGCTGATCGACAGAGGCTGAGAAGCCTATAGATCAGAAATTATCTGTTTACCTGTGTATGTTTAACCGAGCGGTTATTTTGAATTTACCTGTTTGTGAAAAAAAAACTATCTTGAATTCAAGTTCTATGTTTATACGTTAGCACGGAAAGCCGAATTAAATAGTGACTTGGTGGTCTCCAAGCAATATTGCCTGAGAACATCAGACAGTCTATTGTTGGAAACGAATTGAAGGCTTTTTGAAGTCGAATTAGATCGCTTGTCAATTTGTTTCTCGTCTTTTTAGTTTTGGTGATTTGGCTTTTTAACTGAAACAGCAGAAATGGGCAAATGAAGGCTTGGCGTCATCAGTCGATCAGATCGCTAAACCAATTGTGTAGAAGCTCATTTCAAGAGCGGAGCCTATTCAGACGTGTTTTCAAAATATATAAGCTACCCATCATCAAGCAGCAAGACCACGACAATGCCGTGCAAGGACGCATGCGGAGTGGCGACGTTCTGTGTTATCTACGCTGTCATAGTATATTGCGATTTCGCCGTTATTTATTTCATTCTGCTGCCAACTAATATTTTACCGTAAGTTTATTTCATCAACCTTCTAGCACATGCGGGAAGAAGCCATGAAGTAGGGTGTTTTTTTTTGTAAGGTGATAAGGAAAAAACGTCTCGTTAATCGCATAAATATTTGTTCACGAAGGTTGAAACTGTTAGCGTGGGTTTAATATAGTTTCTTTTCCAATGTTAACTAGTTGCCATGTTGTAATATAGAGCTACTAGTTAGCGGAAAATTTTGCTGTTTCAATAATTTGTCCGCGGTTTGGCTAATCATTCACTGAGAGATGCTTGTATCGGCATTTTTTCTGGATCTCTGTCGATCCGGAATAGGTAAGGCTTGATTGGAATGTTTCATCGTTATGCTTTCTGCTCGAATTTTTCACTGCTCCTCTAATTCTTCCCATGTTGTTGTAGCCTCGTTGTTGTTGATGACATTGTGTTCGTTTATTTCGGTCTATAGTGGTTTCGTCTCGTTCCTAATCCAATGTTATAGACCCCTGACAGAATAAGTAGGTATGCGACTAGTGTGGTGTACTTGGACTTCGTTTAAATTCTGGACTCGTGTAAATTGATCTTGCGTTTTGTTGTGCTTCTGTGAGGTCAGCATCCTCCATCAAGCTAATTAGTTCTTTCAAGGGAGTTTACCTCTCCCTTTCCTCGTGATACGTGAGCTACACGGAGGGGGTCAGTCCTTAGACTGAGTGTATTGAAATCTGTCGGTCTGCCTGGACAGTTGAATAAGTGGTGCGCGTCATGCGGACCTAGATTGCAAACTGCTTATATTAGCCTAATTTGGGTCAATCCTGTTTATGTAGTTATCCAGGATGGGTGCGTATCCGGAGCAGAGCTGCGTAAGTGTGCTCCTAGCTTCACGCGAGTTTCTTTCTTCCAAATTTACTCCAGGAATAGTGATAGACTAAATTTGTGACTCGCAGTAAAATCTCTCATGGTTTTTGTATGCAGATATTTGAGGACTTTTCTGTATTGGTTAATGGTAAGATCTGAATCAGTTGTCGGGAGCTCGGCAAGTTCTTGCTCGTATTTTGTTTTCAGTTTGATCCTATAGTCTACAGGCTCCGGTAGATGGCCTCCGGGGTAGAACTGTTTGGCAAGCTTTTCATTATGTCCTCGAACAGGGAGAATTTCGGTTCCATCGTGTAAATGATCAATTATCGTCATTTTAACAGAGCTAGTCAGTTTTGAGAGCATTGCTGTGTTTCACTTGATATTTTATGTTGCTTGACATTGTTTTTGTTTAAACTTCGTGCGCGGAGTAGTTTTTGAAACTACGACTGATTGCTTTATAGCTGATTGTTTGTTTTTTGGCATCCCTGATTGGTATTTTAAGGATATTTTCTTTCTGGCCTATAACACCCAGGATTTTTCAGTTTTTTAATTTTTTGGGTACCCTCCAATATCGCAGACCAAAAAGTACAAACGTTTGTCATAAATTTGTCTTCAAGGGGCAGATTTAAGTGCCTGTTTTTGGCCATTGGTTTAGTTGAGCGAGGTAAGAGTTATTGTTGCGTGAATCTCAATTGGATGGGAACCGGAAGTTAGGGTTGTTCTGTCATCAGAATTAGTGACGAGCGTTTCATTTTTTCGTGGCTTAGGCATGTAGCTAATATATAGATATAAGCAGGGGCGGATCTAGGATTTTCTCGAGGGGGGGGCGGATTTTCAAAAAATTTTCCAAAATTTTGACGACCTTTTTTTTTTTTAGGTCGACCAAATTGATTTTTCGAGCTCTCCCAAAGCACTGTTTTGCCCCTACTTTGGCTAAATTTTCTGCGCCGCAGGCAAATTTTTGAAAAAAAAACAGTCAGAAAAGCCGTTTTCGGGCAATTTTTGAAAAATTTTGACAAAAAAAATCGCGTTTTTTTGGCGCGCGCTCCCCCTCAAAGTTAGTATATATTGGCGCCAAAGGCGCCTTTAGAAAAATTTTAGGGTCGGTCGGCCAAAAATGGATTTCTGAAAAAGTATCAATCCCTGAGGGGGGGGGGGCGTCCGCCCCTGGATATAAGAGTGGTGAGAGAACACCACCTTGTAGTGAACCTTGTTTAAGTCTTCTCATGCCAGATTTTGCGCATGTAAATGCAAGATAAATGAAGTGTCCTTTGGGGTAGGATAATTGACGCTATGATTTACTATTTCAAATGCGTCTGTGAGATCCAGTGGAACTATTTGGATTCTCATGCTTAGTTTTTCTTGATTCAATCCTTCGGCTATATGATCATTGATAAAACCAAGTGCTGTCACAGTCGACCAACCTCCTAAAACCGTGTTGATGGCCTGCTAATTTTATCTTGATATTTGTTACCATTTGAAGTTCGGAGGAACGTTGTATTTGTGTTTTATTGTTTTTATTGCAAAATCAGGTATCACAAATAATCAAGGGAATAAATCGATTGAATTTTATATGCAAGGCTTTCCAGCCCTAATTTGAACATTTAAAAATTTCAACAGTGTCCTTGTCTTATCAAAAAACTGGTTTCAAATGTTGAGCTTAAGTCTAATTTCGACCGAGTAAAACGATTGATAACTTTTTTTATAGGTGAATTGCTCCTTTAGGCTCAGAAAATTTTCTTTTGTAAAAAAAAGGCTACTAAAATTTGTTTTTGACAAAATTTTTTTAAACTTCAATCTTCGAACACTAGTTTTACTAGATTGAAAGAAGTATTTCTCTGCATTACTCGCCCAGAGCTTCAAAACAGGTCGTTTTGACACCGAGAACATCATGAAATGAATTTCAAATATGCTTTATCTTCGACTCTTTTTGATAATTGTCCGTGGTACCTGATTTTGAGTGGGAAAAAGTAAAAAAAAAAATAAATAACTCATTTTGTATTATTATCAATTATACACATCTCAGGGTTTCAGACTATGTTCCGATTGTCTTCTAAGGTCGATGATCCAGTGCTCGCTTCTCGAAAAATTTATGACGTTTTCAAAAAAAAAATAGATGTATTTTTTAGAACGCTATGTAAAGTACAAAGAGAGATATTTCCAATGTAGCAAAATTTTGAATAAAATAAAAAGCATGCATCAATTCAATTCGAAGAAGGATGAAATCTTAGCTTACTTGCGTTATTTGTCCCAACTTGACGATCTTTAAAACTTTACTAGCAATGATCATCTTTTTGAGTTTGAGCTTCAATACTGTTTGAATGATGTAATAAAGATTCGTTAAAAATTGCTGGTTAAAAGGTCGAAATTTGTCTGGAGAAAAACCACTACGAGCACAAATGTTCCGTCTTTTTTTCGTAAATCTTGGCATTTAAATGGGGATTTAATTGTTATGCCGCCTTGAAACGCAGCTTGGTGTAAGAAATGATGTGTCCAATTGCTGATTTTAACTCCTCGTCTCCGTTTTTCTTCGCAATTTCTTAGTTTTTCTTCGTTAATTTTCGCATGATTTTGGTTCCGCTTAATTGACGCTGATCTTAGCTACGGAATTTTTTCGTGAGATACGTCGTTTTAAAGCGAGTCAAGCACTCTACTAGCTACCATTTGAAGTGCGAAATTGCTGTTAGCCGTTTTGCGTTTTGGGGCTTTTTGTTTTTCAACAAGAAAATTAAATGGCTTTTTGGGTTAACTGCTTAGAAACTTTAAAATTATGGAACTTATTGCGCTTGCGATTAGCAAGTGTTATCAATTAGGAATATATAGATTTTTTTCGGGTTAATAATTTGCTAAACAGAATCATTTGATATATTATTTCAATGAATTCAAATTTGTTAGCGTCTCAAACATTTAGCCTGGATGAAACGAATACACCTGGGACGGCAAAGGTCCTGGGTCTGAATCCAACCAGGACCTGTTTGTCAACCGAAAAAAAATCTGTTTCAATTAAAATTTTTGGCGTGTTTTTTGTCTGTCCATGTTTTGTCGGCTTAGTTGCCATGTCTTAGAACTTTTTTTGGTTTATGCAATTTTCATTGTAGTTGCTGTTAGGGTTTGGATTTACTGTGCAATTTGTAATTTTTATAAAATTGACTTTCGCTCATTTTTTTCGGCTCAAATGATTTCGGCTTAGTGCCCTATTTTCGGGCCGTAACAAGGGTAACATGTTTTTTATTGGTGAAAATCTGAGAACTTTTTCATAGTTCAAAGTTTTTCATGACAAAAATTTTGTTTTGGATTTAACGAAATTTACCTTTTTTTCGTTAAACGCCATTGATTGTGGTTCTGGACGTGTTTTCCGCAAATGGAACATCATTCCAGACAATTTTTTCTAAATTTTTTGGACTCTTTTTTTTAGACTTAGTGGCTCTGCTTTTCTGTATGCAATGCATTTTTATTTGTTATCGCAAGTAGTGCGAAACTTCGATTCGCTTCTGTCGAATACACGTGGGGTTTCGTTTTGCAACTGAATTCTATAATTTTAACCACTTTTGAACCTGTTGAAAGGATTTGTCTGAGCGCCTCGGTTTACTTTTCTTATAAAGGCGCGATGATTTTTTTTCAGGAAAAGTCTTAAGTTTGTTCAGGCTCAAACTTGCTTTTTCGCGGTTCGTTTATGGTTTCTTCAGTTCATTTCTTTTGTTACAAGGAAGGCAAACTCCAGTATGGAGCAGCAAAAGTGTAAAGGTCACCAAAAAGATCGTAGACTTCTAGTTTCGAAAGTGGAGTTTTATTTTCAGATTTCCCAGCGGAATAAAAAATTTACCTATTGATCTAGTGTTCTCAAAATGGATTCATTTTATCAAAAAGTTGTTCGTTCAAAAATTTGTAACTTGTAAATTGCAGGTTGACGATCGTTGGTGGGGTTGTGTTCAATATCTGCCTTATACTACTTGTCTATTCACATATAAAATGCGCGTGCTCGAACCCAGGTATTTACAAGAAAATTAAATTATATATTACTCACAAGTTTACATCATTCAAGTTATTTGACTTATATTTGATGATTTAGGATTTGTGTCTCCGTCAGACCCCGTGATATTGGGAAATCAGCACGTAAGATAAATCATTGCCCTTGCAATTAGTTTTTTAAATTTCAATCAGTTTCAAATTTATGATTCTTGGAACCTGGAAGGTTTTTTAGAACCCTAGCTGGACGCATTGCCAGAAGTGCGGATTGCATCGTCCACCACGTGCACATCACTGTAGAATATGCAACCAATGCGTGAATAAAATGGATCATCATTGCCCTTGGGTTGCCAATTGTGTTGGACTTCTAAATCAGAGGACTTTCATTCAGTTTCTTATGCATACAGGTGGATATAATTAATTTCAAAATCGTCTTTGAAAATTTAGTTGAATCAATTTTTTTTGGTGCAGTGAAATCAATATATTTATTTCACAATATTTAGATCGGGGGTGTAGCGATTAGCATGCGATAATTGTTTTAATTGAGTATGCATTCAGATGAAAAACGAATTAGCCTAAATTTTCAAATAGTTTCGAAAACGACTTGATTTGTCAAGGAAATAAAAATTTCCTTTTCGTCTAATAAAACATTCGGCTAAGTGCACGCTGATAAAAATTGCAACTTTGAGTTTTAAAAAAAATGAAAAAACGAGTCTTCAAACTACATGTTTTTACATGGGCATGCTAATCGAAACATGCTAATAGGCCGGTCCTTATTTAGATAGACGACGATGGCTCAATTTAAAATATGAAAACTTTCATTTCAGCCATCACGACATTATTGGCCATCCTTCTCTCTGTAATGTCGATGGTTATTTCTGTGAAGACGAAAAACGAAGACTTTGACAGCACCTCAAGGTTGTTCATCTCTATGTTGTACGTGTGCTAGCTCTTTCTAACATTGCTAAAACACCTATGTAATGTTCTACGACTAAATTAATGTTTTACTAAAACTACCGGACAAAATGCCTCCATTTATTTCCCGCTCAATGAAATAAGACAGCTGACTAAGAGTCGATGAGCGTAGTTCAGACTCATATATAGGTCGCGATGATTTTTTTCGGGAAAATTCTTTGAAAAATTGTTCAGGCTCAAATTTGATTTTTCGCGGTTTGATTTTTGGTTTCTTTTTAAGTTCAGTTAATTTCCTTTGTTGAAAAGAAGGCGAACTCTACTATCTAAATGCTAAAGTGTAAAGGTCAAGAAAAACGTGATCAAATTATAGTTTCCAAAGTGAAATTTAATTTGAAGATTTCCTAGCGAAATAAAAAAACTTACCTACTAATCATTGTGTTTTCAAATTCAGTTAAATTTAGCAAACAACTGTCAATCATAATTTGCTCTTGAAGTTCAAAGGCTTAAGCCTTATTTATTTGAAAGTGGAGATTTTTTTTTCTTCTGTTTACTTGCGTTCATTGATTCTTTTCCAACTGTCTGTTGGCTATGTTTTCATTGATATTGATGATGAAAAAATCGCTTAACACATGTACCCAGGGTTGCATAAAAATCTGATGTATATTCTCGATTGATTTAAATCCGATTTTTATTGTTTTACCTTGATTTTTGAGACTGAAATGGATAAATCCGAAAGTGCTGAAAAACTTTCAGTTAAAAGTATGCTATAAAGAGCGAATTACGTAACCAATATAAATACTGCAAGCTGGGTTGTATGTTTACCGCGGCACTCGGCAGGATTAGACAAAGCTTGATTTTTTTGATTTCATTCTACGATTAAAATCCGATTTAAATCAAGTTGATTTTAATCATGCAACCCTGCATTTACCTGTATTAACACGCTTAACAGATATTAACCCATAAAGAGCAGTAAACTAAAAATGATTTGAATTAGTCGTTTCGGTTGCCATTTAAGTGCATGTTTGTGTTTAGAGCCAACACAGTAGTTGTGTGCATTCTCTGTCTCGTGTTCTTCATCTTCGCCATCTCCATGTTAGTCGATCAGTTCCAGTCTGTGATGGCGGACGAGACAGCAGTGGAGCAGCTGAAAAAACCCACCAAGGTTCCGGAGGGCTCGGCTACTCTGGGTTCCATTGCCAGCTACCATCGATCTCTTCAAAACAAGAGCCGCCATAGGTGTCGCAATGCCTTCAGACGAGTCTGTGGATACGGTTTGTTAGTTTTTATCAAAGTATAGAAGGTCTAGGTTTTTGTTTTTCCTAGCAGATTTTTCAGACCACTCTCGAAAGATTGTTTGGAAGAGATCTAGAGCGTTGGTGGGGGGTTCTCACTGCAATTTGCTGGAAATCATAGTAAGCTCGTAATTTATCGGATTCCAAAAAAAATTATAAACGTTAAAACATTTTATTGATTACTGTGGTCGAAATATTCAAATGATTCCCTGTGCTCATGACTTTTTTCATTCTAGAATGAGCATGAAATTAATTTTTTCTTGATAAGAGTCAATGAACGCATAAGAATCTTATGAGGTTTTGCTGATTTTTGTTTTGACCATAGAAAATGGGAATGAACTTTGTATTGGGGTTTGTTTTAGATTTTTTTCCACGCAAAATCAGGTACCACAAATAATCATAGGTACCGAGTCGAGTGATATTTAATATTAAATAATTTTCAGTCTTCTAAAAAAGTTCAAAAAAGTGTCCCAGTGATTTATACAAAAAAAGAACATTTTTGAATGTTTTTATGATTTTTTTGTTTTTCTAGTCTTTTTCTGAACCTGTTTTACTATGAATGTCGAAAGTTCTAGGATTTCGTTTGGATCCTTTTTGTGCGCGTCAATTTCCACACTTCGTGATAAAATCTGTTCCCAAACACTTGAATTATAACGAGTATTTTATCGGGAAAATAACGATATTTTTAACAAGCTTTTTTATTGTTATCGGTAACATCGGCCACAATAAACTGCATAACTCAAAGCAAGCTGCAAAAATGGCCAGTATTTGTCCTTGAGACAAATTGCTCTTTTTAAAGGTCAGCCTTAATCAAGGCTGAACCAAATTAGAGCGAAAAGACGGTTAAAATAGGTCAAATGGGGCTATAGCCCCTCGGGTCTACATGTTTTAAGGTCTGCATATAGGGGGGGACTCTAACCCGGTTGACCGGCGTGAGAGACTTGTCTCTGGGCCGCTCGGCAAACTGTGCTTATGGTTGTTACATTTTGGTTCAACTTTATATGCATTTATACTCTCGCACATTTACGTTTATATGCATTTGTACTATTGTTTTATATTTGCGCTGCAACATCCTCCACCCCTAAACAAGGAAGAACGGGAGCGAGCTTTACGGTCGGGCGGGTCAGTTCACTCGTAACGGTCTTTATGTCGGCGGATCTCGCGCATCCGTCCTTGCCATAGTGCAGTCTTAGGATACGTGCGAGTGGATAATGTCCACGTGGAGTGTCAGGCTCTATGACCCAAACCAAGTCGCCGGCTTTCAACTTAACGTCTGACTGGTTGTGTCACTTTGCCCTCCTATTGAGGGAAGGAACGTATTCCCGCATCCACCGTGTCCATATTGCGTTAGCGTATGATTGAGCTCTGGCGAACCGCTTCTTATTGTCGAAGTTTTCTTCGAAACTTAGCGACGGAAAACTCGCTGCATGTTGACCAAGGATAAAATGATTCGGGGTCAACGCCTCTAGATCTAGCGGATCGGAACTAACGGCTGTTATCGGTCTAGCGTTGAGTGATTGCTCAACAAGGCACAGCGTGGTTCTTAGCACCTCCTCAGTTACTCTTCTGTTGCCTAAGATGTCATACAAAACGCGCTTGACACTCCGAACTAATCGCTCCCAGGAGCCACCATGGTGCGGTGCGCTGGGTGGATTGAATTTCCACTTGATCCCTTTCTGAACAAAAACAGCGGGTGCGAGCTTGTTCTATCTCTCAATGCAAGCTAAGAGCTCTTTCTGAGCGCCAACAAAGTTCGGTCCGTTGTCGGACATGATGGTAGTCGGAGTACCGCGACGTGCAATAAACCTCTCTACGCCCATCACACAAGAGCTTGTGTCGAGCGAGGGGACCACTTCAATATGCACCGCTCTAGTGGTGAGACAGGTGAACAAAAAAACCCCACCTCTTTTCCGTACTTCTCCGGATTGCAACTAGGAACGGCCCAAAGTAGTCGACACCTGTGTTAGTGAAAGGAGGTTGCTTGTAACCCAGCCTTTCAATGGGCAGGTCAGCCATAATATGAGTTACTGTTTGCGCTTTGCGTTTTCGGCAAGCAACGCAAGTATTTTCAATGTTTCGCAGCAACCATCGCAATTTTAACACAACGTACTTCAAATTAACCACCGCACGCATGTAATCCAAGCCTTGATGGAAATTTCTAACGTGCAAGTGCTGAACCAATAACCGAACAACCGCGTGACGTGCATCAAGTATAATCGGATGCTTGCTATCGAAATCGGAATTAACCAAGCGGCTGATGCGCCCAGTTGAGCGAAGGATGCCAGCTGGTCCAATGAACGGCGAACACTTGGCGATCTGACTATTCCTTGTGATAACTTTACCGGATCTTAGTAGTTTAAGTTCACTAGGGAATGTCTCACCCTGGGACAGGTAAATGAGCTTCTGTTCAGCAATATCCATTTCAGACGGGTCTGTAATTTCTAATATACTCGACCGGAAATGTTTATGGGATGGCAGCCATCTTAACAAAAAAGCTACTGCGCGTTTGTATTTTACAATTGAATTGAATCTCTCCCATTTTCCGAAGAGAAGATTTTTTTCTGTCAAAACATCGACGACAAAATTTGACGAGTTTTCCAGACAAATGTCGATATCACATAGTCTTATTTTATCAATAACCCTTGTATCGGGCTTGAACGGCCAATCAGTTGTTCTCAATACACTAGGGCCATTAACCCAGCTGCTTTCCTTGAGGGCTTCCGAAGAAATCCCTCGTGTACCGGTATCAGCTGGGTTATTACCGCTAAGTATGTGATGCCACTGATCAGTGGTGGTAGACTCCAGAATCTCACCAGTGCGATTACCAACAAAAACGGATAGTTTACTACAAGAGTGAAGCCACTGGAGAACAGTGGTACTATCTGTCCACATGAAAATATCCGTAACTTTGAAAGTGAGAGCTTTCAACATTTCTTTTAAGCGGGTTGCAAGAAGAGCCGCTTGAAGCTCTAACTTTGGAATAGAAAGCGCTTTCATAGGCGCGACGCGGGCTTTGCCAAACACAAAGGCTTATTCGGTCTGATGGGAGCTAACAAGTCGCGCACGAAGGAAAGCGACGGCACAGAAACATCCAGCGAACTATCACCGAACATGTGAAGTTCTATTCGGTCGAAAGGTTCAGTGAAATAGCTGCGAGGTATTGTCAGAGAACCTAACAAATTAAGACCTGAGTGCCACTCAAGGAATTGCATTTTGATTTCCTCTGGCAGATCATCGTCCCATTTTTGACCGCTGATTCGCCAGATATCTTTTAATAGAAGGCGAGCCTTCACGGTATACGGAGCCACTAACCCAATTGGATCAAAAACAGAGGAAACAAAACTCAACACGGTACGCTGAGTGATTGCTTTGTCTAGTGGACGATCAACCCCTCTACATACGACTAAGGTGTCTTTTACGTGATCCCACTTAAGACCGAGAACATGCGACGACTGGTCTGGACTCGCAAAAATATCTTTAACAGAGGAATTGGACTCACGGTTGTCCGGATCAAGAGCGGTTGTTACGTCTGGCACGTTGCTGACAAATGTTGTCAGACGAAACCCCCCTAGTTTAAGCAAGGAGATTAAATCCCTACCTAACTTCAAGGCGTAATCCCTGTTTTGAAAAGAATCCAGATAATCATCCATATAAAATTTCTGGACAACAGCCGAAGCAGCTTCGGGGTACTCAGCTTGATTATCCGATGCAGTCTTCTGCAAAGCAAAATTCGCACAAGTCGGCGAGTCACGAGCACCAAAAATGTGACGCGTATAATGGTGAACTACCACACTTGATGTGGGGTCCTCCCGCCACAAAAAACGAAGAGAAGGTTGATCTTCTTCACGTACTCGAACCTGTAAAAACATCCCTTCAATGTCAGCTGAAACGGCGTATTTATGCTGACGGAATCCTAACAGTACAAAAATGAGGTTTTGAAGGAGATCCGGGCCAACCAACAGAGATTTGTTCAAGGAAGCGCCATGACACTTCGATGCCCCATTGAGGACTCGGCGCACCTTACCGGGTTTATTCGGGTTCAACACCGGGTGATGCGGGAGATACCACCCACGATCGGCTCGTGATTTGGGATCGTGTGCCTTAACGGTTATGACATATCCTTTTTGTAAATCTTCTCTTATTGTTTCGGCGTATTTTTCACGGAGTGACGGATCCTTATCTAGCCTCTTTTCCAAAGAATTTAATTGAGCTAAGGAGGAAAAAGAGTTATTCGGTAAACTACTTTCCTTATCGTTCCAAAGCATTGGTACAATGTATCTCTCACCATCGTGAAAGGTGTCATTTTTCAAAACGGACAAAGAGCGTTTGTCGGCGGCGGAACGGGCATCTACCTGCTTGAAGGCTCCATATGACTCCAACTCATACCAAGTTTTAATTTGGTCCGCAAGAGACATGTCTTTGACAACACACTTAAAGCAAGACGAGTTCGACTTAAAGGACGGCGGTAAGGGACCACTTAAAACCCAACCTATCAGAAGGCAAACGGCGCACGGTGAAATAGAGTCCTCCCCCAGAAGGTACTCAACGGGTCTTATGGCATGGTAGAAATCCTGTCCAATAATTATTTCGACTTCCTCATACTTATAAGTATAGGTTTTATCCGAGCCAACTGCGGGTATTTTTCCTGTAATTCAGGAATACTTATGCTATCCGACCCAATGCGAATATGATCCTTAACATAAGGTCGAAAAGAAAACGAAAAATTACTATTATTCGTTTTGGCGGAAACTTGAAAACTTACTTGATGAGTTTTCATCACGCTCGTGGAATTGAATCCATTTATGGTGAGGTTAACGGGAATTCCAACCAAATGGAGACGTTTTACGAGATCGGCGGATACTCATGAGTGCGTCGAAGCACTATCGCAAAGAGCTAGGGCATTAGTAATCGTCGCATCCGAAGAGACGGCGAGTGATGCAACTGGCAGGAGGCCTTTAGTTGACATCGGAATATAGGTTTTTTTGGGTTCAGAACTTGCTTAACAAAATCTCTGAACAAAATCTGACATGCTCAAATTCTTTAATATTTAAAGCTACTGGGCTACCGAACTACTTACTGCTATTCAAAGTGATGGCATGCTCAAATTCTTGAAGTTTCAAAGTAAAGTACTTGACTACTGCTTTTATAGTACACTTTCGATTTCATATCACTAGCGTGGCACACTTGTCAAACTTTTCTGGCACACTTGCCTAGAGGTAGCGACTACGCTTCGGACTGAGAAAAGTGTTCGTTACCGATAGGCAAGTGTGCCAGACGAGGCAAGAAATGTTCAAATCTGGCCAGTTTTCAAACGAACTGAAAACATTCCGTTGAAAAACTTGCAACTACAATGAAAATTGCTTTCAGTATGAGAAAACTCTGTGATGCGGCAACTAAGCCCGCAAAACATAATCAGACAAATGAAAAGGTCGAAATTCTTTTCAACGGAATGTTTTCAAACGAACTGAAAACATTCCGTTGAAAAGAATTTCGGGCTTTTCATTTGTCTGATTATGTTTTGCGGGCTTAGTTGCCGCATCACAGAGTTTTCTCATACTGAAAGCAATTTTCATTGTAGTTGCAAGTGTTTTTGGTGTGCTGTATTTTGTTTGTTTTACTTTTTTCCGCTAGAAAGTTTTTCATGGCAACAATTTAATTTTTGGCTCAACGCGAGTTTACGCAAGTTTGTGATTACCGCTCACTAAATGTTGCTGAATTTTAGTTTCACGCCGGCAATACTTCAGTTCTGATTTAAATCATCGGGACAAAACGAATAAAATTTGAGATTTAATATTATGAAGACAAATCTTGTTTAAAGTTTTCGCAGAATAGCTATGGTAAAAATTACGCCGAAACTATTGGTTCAATTGCTGACAAAATCAAAGCGAGCCTATTTTGTATCCCAAAAAAGTTTATGAAGGGTATCTCCAAAAATTTGCGTAGAACGATTTAAAGTTGTTACTAAACAAAAAATTGGTTAGTTTTTGTGGTTAAAATTTAAATCCGCATTGTATTACAATCTAATAATTCGCGACAAAATTGTGCAATTTTTGTAATAGTTTTTGACATTTTTTTGACCCCGTGGCTTTTTTTTCATCATTTTTTGTCTTCTAGCTTACTTTGCTTATGTGGTATCGCAAGTGGTGCAAAGCTCTGCTTCGCCTCTGTGTTATTTTTACTTATATTATCGTGGCTTCGTTTTCCTGGTCCACAATAGGCATTAAAAGCTTTTTACTAATTTTTCATTTCTTCAATTCAACAAGCCGAATGCACGAGCAATTTTCTTGTTTTTTAGCTAATTTTTTCCTTTGTTTGCGTAGGGAACCGCTGTTGCTGGTTTTTTCCGTGCACTAAAGTTGAGTATTCTGTCGATTCTGGATGGGCAATTGACCCGAACGAGCCTCGTAGACCCACTATCAACACTGCGGGTGCCCCTAATGCATCAACGGCCAGTCTGGGTAGCAATCTCTCGAAGAGTGGCGGCAATAACCAAGCTAGCAATGGCAGCTACCTCAATTTAACGGGTAAGCAGCCCTCGAAAGCCAAGCCAGAAACACTGCAGGTAAACATTGCCAAAAATGGAGCAGTGGGATCCACTGCAAAGAACAGCTTGTACGAGCAAGAAAAGGAGTCAAAACAACCGTACGGGTCGTTTAAGAATGAAGAATCAGAAGATCAAGTTGAAACTAAAAAAGCAAATGGAGTAGCTACTTACCACAAGTCCAAATCGAAGAGCGAGGCTCATAATAGTACGAATGCTGCGAAAACTTCAGCTAGTATAGTTAGGAGCGAGAAGAGCCCGTTTACTTCGGTAGTAATTGACCCCGAAGAAGATCCGAATTCTAGTCCCAGAAGAAAACGAAGGTCAAGGTCGCCGCAAGATAGTCAGCATAATAGTGTAAATCAAGTTATTGTTATGTGATATCAACTGCTACTTTCATAGAGAAGTTTTTCAACTTAAGTCAAAGTGCTATGAATTTTTAATCGTGTAAATAGTTGGTCAAGTTTTTGGTATAAGTTTCCAAAATGATAATATTTTAGCGTAGTTTCGTCTTCACCATTTAATATTGAAATACTGCAATCTTTTCATACTTTTGCTGGTTTGTATTATGGAACAGAATTTGATATTCAGTCGTCTAGTGACCTTTTAAGATTACAATTAATTTAGACTGCTGAGCTTATTAAATTCGGGTTGCAACAACTTCGAGTATATCAAATTCTTTCAAGGGTTTCTCGCAAGTTGAGGTAAGTTTTATAGCAAGCACCAAATTTGAACTCCTCGTCCAAAAATTCCAACCTTTTCGAGATAACATATCTGTATTTTTAAACTTGAGTAAGATTTGGTATTGGCTATAAATGACCTGTATTTCGACTAGTTTGTCTATTCCCTGGTTTTCGATATATTTCAAAACGTGTAATATAGCTGCTTGAACCCCTGTTTTTTAACTCTAATTTAAAAATTAACATATTATCTGGCTCTTTTGTTTGCAACGCCGCCATTCAAACTTTTGTGCTAGTAATTTAATTATGGAGCTGAATGTTATTAATATTAATTTGTATTTCTCCCTCGGTAGACTAGTATTTTATTAGCAAATGGTACAAATTGAAAATATATTTTCCAAAGTAACCGTCTTTTTATGAGGAGTATCATATCTAGATTTAATTAATTAACCCATACGTTGTGTTTTGTCGACCGCTTTTAAGAGTGGCAAGTTCTGATGTTTTTTTTCCCGCTAAATTAGGTACCACAAATAACAGTCACTAGGAAACGGGTATCATGACGTTTCAGTCGTGATTCGGATTCCAAAATGAGGGTCGAGATAAATGTTTTTTCCCGTTTTGCAAATAATGTACATGGAGGAATGGATAAGAGACTGACCTCCTTGAATATTTAATGCGATTTTAACGTTATTTTAGCTATTATAACCTCACCCTTGCAATGGTTATTTTTCAATAGCTTAACTTAGGTTACCATAGTCGGAATATTACGTGCTACTTGAAAGCAACCGTCTATAAGTGTTTTTCTTCGACTCTTTAAAAGTTAGAGTGGCTTTCGAAAGGCCGATTAGAACGAAGATCTGCCTTGTAAACCCACGTTTTACAGAATGTTACTGTGATTGCTCTTGTTAACAGATTCGGATGAAGTAGTAATCATGTTAAAAACTGTAGCTCAATCAGTAATAGCATCCCCGATTTCAAACAAAACATCCATCGTTTCTCGAGCTATCCCACAGACGTTTTTCAATTCATACAGAGGGAGAAAATGGCAAGCGGAATACTGGAAAGTCGAAGAAGAGTACAAACATTTGATGTGGGTGCCTAGAAAAGAAGACAGAGATAAAATTCCACTGAACCCAAGGATTTACACAGATACTATCGAAAAAACAGTTGAGAAGAATGTCTCGAATACGATTCTAAATTTTGGACCTCAACATCCCGCCGCCCACGGAGTACTACGGCTACTCCTTCAAGTATCAGGCGAAAGTGTTGTCAGGGCTGATCCACACGTAGGCTTGTTACACAGAGGTACTGAGAAATTGATCGAATACAAAACCTACATGCAAGCGTTGCCCTACTTCGACCGCCTTGACTATGTCTCAATGATGACTAATGAACAATGTTTCTCATTGGCTATCGAGAAACTCCTGAACATACAAGTACCAGAGAGAGCACAATACATAAGGGTCATGTTCGCAGAAATAACAAGAATTTTGAATCACATTATGGGAATCGGAACTCACGCTTTGGACGTTGGCGCGATGACTCCGTTCTTCTGGCTTTTTGAGGAACGCGAGAAACTTTTCGAATTTTACGAAAGAGTATCAGGAGCTAGAATGCATGCGGCTTATGTGCGACCCGGAGGCGTTGCTAGAGATCTTCCGATGGGACTTCTGGACGATATATACGACTGGTCCTTGAAGTTCGGCGAACGAATTGATGAGCTGGAAGAAATGTTGACTGAAAACCGAATTTGGAAGGAGCGAACGGTAGATATTGGCGTTATTTCATCAGAAGATGCATTGAATTACGGGTTCTCGGGAGTTATGCTGAGAGGCTCGGGAATCAAATGGGACATAAGAAAAGCCACTCCTTACGATGGATACGAAAAGTTCGAGTTTGATATTCCGGTTGGATTGAGAGGAGATTGTTACGACAGATACAAAATCAGATGTGAGGAGATGCGAGAAAGTTTGAAGATTATATACCAGTGTTTGAACAAAATGCCTCCCGGAGAAATCAAAACAGACGATGCTAAAGTGTCACCTCCCTCAAGACACGAAATGAAAGAATCAATGGAAGCGTTGATTCATCATTTCAAGTATTTTACAGAAGGGTTTCAAGTTCCGCCTGGGTCTACGTATACTGCAATCGAAGCTCCAAAAGGAGAATTCGGAGTTTATTTGGTGTCTGACGGAACCAGCAGGCCTTACAGATGTAAGATCAAGGCCCCTGGATTTGCACATCTCGCTGGCCTGGATAAAGTATCTGCCGGTCATATGTTAGCTGATGTAGTAGCGATCATAGGAACTCTGGATGTTGTTTTTGGAGAAGTAGATCGATGAGTTTGATAAACTGAGGATGCGCTGTCTTTACTAATGAGTGAAATATAATGATGTAATAATTAGATCAGATTGTCTAGTTTTTTTTTTACTATAAACTGGAGTTAACGCTTTTTGATAGGATAGCGTCCTTATTCATTGTCTGTCATATCAATTTTTTGAACGCAAACATAATTGACGGACCGGTTTGATTTGAAAAAAAAGCATTTTAAAGGGTGATGTATAATGCATCGATCTTTGCGTCTAAAATAGTCAAATTTATTAGTGTGATTAGCTTGAGTAAATTTATTATTAGCTTGAGTAAATTTCAGATTTTCTGTTTGCCCTAAAGATGAAGCGAAACCCGAAAGTGTCATCTTCGCGAAGGAAGTCCCGAAAGGCTCACTTCACGGCACCCTCGCACGAGAGATATTTCCGAATGAGCGCTGCCCTCTCGAAGGAGCTACGAAGCAAGTACAGCGTGCGATCTCTTCCCATCCGCAAGGAAGACGAAGTGATGGTTGTGCGTGGGAGCCACAAGGGGCGAACTGGAAAGATCAACAATGTCTACCGTCTGAAGTACTGCATCCACATTGACAGTATCAAGAGAGAAAAGACGAACGGACAGCAAGTGGCCACTCCGATCCATCCGAGTAACGTGCAGATTATCAAACTGAAGCTGGACAACTCGAGGAGGAAGATCCTGGAGCGAAAGAAGAGCACCAAGAAGGAAGAGAAGGGAAAGTACACTGCTGCGGACGCCATGGAATCTTAGATTGAACTTCCGAAATAGAAGTTATTACATTCATAGACTCCGCGCGTGCTAGTGGTACTCCTCAAAGTCAACAGTTTGGTTATGTGCGACATAATTTTATGATGTGCTAATTGACTGTTGATAACTCAGTTGTTTTTTTCCCTGTGTTTAAGAGAGTCAAATGATTGTAGACTAACGTTCAAACGAGCCGTCTTTAAAAAACAGACAGTAATCCATATTACGTCAAGTATTTACTAACTTCATGGATTGTCTTCAAGGACGCTTTGTAGTCTGAGTAAACAGGAATACGGACATCTAAGAAATATATATATTTTTTCAGTTTTCAGTATGGGCCGCAAACAGAGCAGGAGAGTGCCTCTGAAGAGGAAGCACAGGGTGGAGAAAAAAGTGGCAGACCACAATCGCAAGATGAGAAGGTTAGCCAAAACAGTTTCCAAGAAAAAGACCAGAAAAGATCCAGGGATACCGAACTCAGTTCCTTTCAAGGAAGAGATCCTCCGAGAAGTTGCTTTGAGGAAACAACAGAAAAAAGACGAGGAGCTCCGGAAAAAAGAGGAAGTAAAAGCGGCAAGAATGGAAGGTAAAAAGCCAAAAGATCTAGAATCTCTGCAGGCTGATGCCACTGCAAGGGGTGAGATGCATGAGAATGCAGAAACACAAATTGATCCTGAAAATCAGGAACCAAGCGAACAGATTTGCCAGTCTAGCGCAATGTCCAGAAAGTATTACTTCAAAGAGTTCAAAAAAGTAGTCTTAGCCGCTGATGTCATTTTGGAAGTCCTAGATGCAAGAGATCCAATGTCATGTAGATGTCCTGACGTTGAACAAGAAGTGCTGAAAGCTGGGAAGAAGCTGGTGCTTGTTCTCAATAAAATTGACCTGGTCCCAAAACAAAACGCAGTTGAATGGATAAAATTTCTGAGACGAGAATTTCCAACGATTCCTTTCAAGGCATCCCGTCAAAAGCAGAGATCCGCTTTAGGAGCCTACAAATTGAAGTTTGCAAAAGCCACCACTGATTTGTTGAGTAACTCCAAGTCATTCGGTGGTGATGTTTTGCTAAAATTGATCGGTAATTACTCTAGAAATGCCGACATGAAAACTTCAATCACAATCGGAATTATTGGACTCCCGAACGTCGGCAAAAGCAGTGTCATCAACAGTTTGAAAAGAGAGAAAGCTTGTAATGTAGGCGCATATCCTGGAATCACAAAATCAATGCAGCCTATTCATTTAGATAGCAAAGTGAAGTTACTAGATAGTCCAGGTATTATAATGCAGAAGAACGTTGACTTGAACTCTCTGATTTTGAGAAACTGTATTCCGATGGAAAACATAACAGATGGAGTCTCAGTTATAAATCACATGTTAAAGAAAGTGAAAGGAAATCAACTGTCACTGCAGTACAAAATTCCCGTTTGTACAAGTACGGATCAGTTGTTGGCAAATATTGCTCGGAAACGAGGAATTCTGAGAAAAGGCGGCGTTCCTAACATTGAAAAGGCAGCAAAGTTGTTAATAAATGATTGGACAAATGGAGTTATTCGTTATTACACACAAGTGCCAGCAATTACAGAAACGACCGTTAGAAATACTGCTTCGCAAGCTGAAATAGTTTCTGAGTTCAGCGAAGAATTTGACATTGATGCTCTTTTAAAAGACGAAGATGGATCAACGCCCGCGGAAGTGCAGAATCTGATGGAAGATGTTTTCGTTCCTGTTGAACCTGAAGGTCAATTACCAGTAGTGAACGATGACCTTTTAGAACAGGAAACATTAGTTGAGATTGATGCTCCAAATGATGAAGAGGAAGTTATGGAATCAGACGAGAAGAAAAAGTTCGTGAAGTTTGGACGGAAAATTGTGAAAACGTACGATGACGGCGATGACGACATGGAGTTCGAAGACATGAGTGATTCGGAGAATTTTTCCCAGCCAAAGACAGACAGCAGTGGGAAAATTTTGACGTATGACAAACGGATGAAGCTGAAATTGAAGCACATGAAGAAAATGAAGCGAAGAAGTGAAAAGGTAGATAAGAGTTTGGCAGCTGCCGCGATGAACATGATGGACATAGACTCAAAATCAAGAAAAGCAAAAACTGCCTCGAATTGAGTTTGTTGATTCTGTGTTCTACTTTTTTCACTGGGCCTGCTCAAAAAATTCAACCTTATTATAGTTTTTTGTTTTTCTAAAGAGGTAGAAAACCTAACCCGCAATTTGGTGAGTTGAACAGCTGTTGGTAAAACTTGGAATCATTTTCCTACAGGTATTTACCTTTGTGATGAGCAAGGGTGTTGCAAACGGGTACTAGACGCGTTTTTCGCAAATAACAGTTCATAGAATTTTCACGAGAAATGTTTACGTGTTTTGCGTGCTTTATTATAAATTCAAAATCAAGGAGAAGTCTGAGCTTCTCTTTGTTCCTAGATTTCTTCGGCGCTTTTTGTAATTTTTATTTAAAAATATTTTGGCAAATAAATGATTTTTAGACGTTTTTTTTCGAACTTTTGATTTCTTTTAATTAGTCATTCATAGTCATTCTTTTTTGCATTGCATTTGGTGCGCAGCTCAGCTGAGCTTCGGTGTAGAGCAGCGATTGCTTAAGGTCAAACAAGTTGAGATAATTAGAAAAAGATCAACGTCATTTTATCTGTCGTCAAGTCTACTTAAAAATCCACCCCCCCCCCCCCCCCCATTGTATCTACTAAAGAATTTCCACCCCAGTAAATGAAAAAGTAAGTTCGCACTAGAGCGTTGTATGTAAATTCGAATTTTGCTGCATTCTGATTGGTTGAAAATTCGCAACAAGTAATTCTTTAAGGGGGGGGGAGATTGTTAAATAGATCCAATCTGTCTATCAGCATCGAAATTAAGCAAATTACCTTCCTGAGTTTTTCCTTGATTTTTCTAAACTTAGATAAAATACCCAATTTTTAAGTGATTTCATACAGTGAGTTGTTGGTGTGTGAGTTAAGGCTACTACTATTTTAGGCGGGTCTTTGAAGTTGACAATGACTATTGTTAGGAAGATGCGAATTTTTTCGTGAAACTTTTCCACAAACTATTTCAAGCAAAAAAAGTCTGAGTAAATTTGTACAATCTGTGGATCTGAAATAATTACTTGGAAGCCCGGTGTCATGTAAAGAAATAAGTTTTATGCCAACCTAAATCGGAAGTAAAAGTGCTCACCTGATGGCACTTCGGCTGGTATAGCAATTAGGCTCTTTTCCACTCCCCCTCAACATTTGAAAAATAAGATTTGAAACAATTTAGAAAATAAAAACATTTTAATTGTCATTCTTAACGCCCGCTAGCATAAACTGGTAATTTGCGTTAAACAAATGCGAAACTTGAAGAAATGAATCCGATTTTTCTTCAAGCTTGACATTGTTAAGACGATGCTTTGTTCCTAACTGAATCGATAAAGCTCTTTTTCCTTACTTATCGGTAGTTTTACTTATTACACAAGCAAGCGATTTTGTTAAACCACAAATAATTTTTTCTCAAGTAAGTCGAATTTTTTGGTGCAATTTTGAACGGCCATTTTCCTTTCCCCACCCACGAGCATCAATTTTGCAATATAACGATAAGTTTTTTCAGGTGAAGTATACAGACTAAAATTGATTGTTTTATTTCATGTTTCTTATTTTTGTTGCTTGTGATTGCAGCTCTGTGTTGAACATTCTTCTGCACAATTTTGCCGAAACAATACTTAAAGCCAATTTGAAATTTTTAGGCACATTTATCGGCTATTGCATTGTGGCGCTCCTGCGGCGCTCTATTGTGGCGCTCCAGTATATGATTGCTAGTTCAAGCTGCATGTGCGCTGTAATTTGAATTGTGAGCTCTTGCAAGTAAGTCATAGCTTAATGGCGGGTTATTTGCGCTCTTGCCAACTTAAACAATTACTATCTGCGCTGGTTGGTTAATTAAAAGTAATCGTCTACGCGGAAATTTTGTAGTATTTAAAAACATGAATAACTAAGTAAAATTGGAATACCGTGCCCAATGCCCATAAATTTATTCGAATTCACTAATCGGATAGCAACCGAAAAACTGACAAAAAACTATAATGAATGCTATCTTTTTTAAGTGTTCATTTTTTATAGCTATGTTTTTTGGAAGTTTTTCACTTATATGGGTATTGTTGGAAAGCCCGAAAGGATCAAATAATGGGCTCATAGGTTTAATTTCTTCAACTGAACGGGAAAAATCTGAAAATACCGAAGAAAACAACAAAAAAAGCGCTAAAATTACCATGGCTTGAAAAATTTTACTAAGAAGTTCTTCTCGTGCAAACCCGCATTTAAGAAAAGTGCAAACAAATCGGTTATAATGGATTTTCGTGGTCTACAATGTTGTAAATACAATCAATTCCCATGTTACGTTCAGACAACAAAATTGGACTAAAAATGGATTTAAATCCATTTTTTCTCGCCAAAACAAAATGCATTATAATTCATTTGGAATACATTATAATAGATTTTATAATAAGTAGGAAATCACATTAAAATGGATTTTTTTCCACTTTATTTTTGTTTTGCGCGTCGTGCAAAATTTTGCAAGAATTTTGCATTTATGAAGTGAGTTATTCGGAAACTTCGCAAAGCGAGTGTACGGCCTAATCCATTTCTAAACCTTAACTCAAATTCCAAAAAGATTCCGTTAAGCTCACCCCCCCTAGCCGTGTGCCCCTTTGCTCCCCTTCAACCCCCCTACCGTTTGCCCCCTTTGCTATTCTCCCCCTACATTACTCTGAAACCCCCCCCCACTGAACACACTCCCCCACCTGAACACGCCCCCACCTGACACCCCCACCCCCCCACTGAATCCCCCTGAATACCCCCCCCCCCCCCCCCACCTGACTGAACACCCCCCCCCCAACGCATGAACCCACCACCCTTGCCCACTTGAACCCTTTTCCCTCCCTCACCTGAACCCACCTCTCTTCCCCCAAAGGGAGGGGGGTAATGGAAGGGGGATTAGTCCACCTCTAA